AGAAGCGTATCAGGTAAGAACCAATGCCCATTCTGTGCACAATCTGTACTTTGAATCATTTGACAATTTTTCAGTTCTGGCCATGATTACATTAGTTCAAACAGCTTGCTCTTGAACAGCCAAAATCAAATCTTCAGGGTTATGTTCCACTTGTAAGCCATTGCCAGACTATCCACTTTCTCCTAAATCTTTTTGAGAAATTGACCAGGTAATGCTTTTCCCTGCTAGCATCCTATTTGTATATGTTACATTATTTTGATATTAAGTTTTTGCTTCCTGCACATTTACTAAGCTTCAGTTTTTAGCTTGATCAATGCTTGTTCTTGGCTGTTTTTTACATAATCAGCTAGTGCACAATTTTCTTAGAATTAACAGAATTGAAAGGGACCTTGGAGGTCTTCTAGTACAACTCATGGTGTTGCTCTAACACCATGGCAGCAAGGGAGAAGGGAAAGCAATGGTGGCGGAAGGTCTCCCGAACATCCAAGCTGTCGCCGCTCGCCCACCCGATGATGCAAGGGGGGGAATTAAGTCACCCCTGAAAAGACGGCCTAGCTGTTTTTGCAGGGGTCAAAAAAAAATAAGGCCCGGCCTTATTTTGTGAGAAACACAGTACAATTAAGCAAGTCCAGAAGTATTTTACAAGAAGAGTACTACACTCCTCTATTCTCAACAGAATACCCTACACCACCAGACTTGAAATTCTAGGCTTAGACAACCTTGAACTACGCTGGCTAAGATTGGATTTAAGCATAGTACATAAAATTATATGTTACAATGTCTTACCAGTTAACGAGTATTTCAGCTCTAATCACAGCACCACAAGAGCACACAACAGATATAAACTTAATGTAAACCACTCCTTGATTGCAGGAAGTACGATTTCAGCAACAGAGTGGTCAATGTCTGGAACTTACTACCTGATTCTGTTGTCACATGCTCAAACCCCCACTCCTTTACCCTCAAACTAACGTCTATTGACCTCACCCCTTTCCTAAGAGGTCTGTACGGGGCATCCATAAGTGCACAATTGTGCCTACTATCCCTGTCCTATTGTCCCCAATTTTTAGTATCTATTTCATGTATTTATACTTATGTTCATTCTTATTTCTATTATATTGTAATCATTTGACAAAATAAATAAATAAATAAAATAAAATGATGTCAGTCTGATTGGTCTGTAGTTTCCTGGATCATTTTTTTTTCTCTTTTTGAAAATTGGAACCACATCAGCTCTTTTCTAATTGTCCAATAGTTCTTGCTGCTCCAGGCAGAATGGGACAACTACTACTGCCAACTCACTGTTACCATCTTGCCACGGTTCAACTTGCTGTGGCCAATTTGCTGCAGGGCAACTTGACACAGGACAATTCCATGCAGGATAACTAAATGTGATAAATATTATCCGCCATTACTTCTTCAACATTATTTCCATTGACAAAAATGGAAGTAATGTAGAAGAAATAGTGACAGATAACATTTATCAGGTTGAGTTATCTCATGTGGATTGCTCTGTGAAGAGTTTGTCCCATGATGAATTGACTGCAGCAGGAGGGCCGTGCTTGGTTGGCCACAGCAAGATGGCCACCCCCATCATCATCCAGGAAAAGATGGGAGCAGCTGAAACAAACGAGCTATTTTAATGGTGACAACTTTAGCTGTAGACTGACATGACATGATAATACATTGTCTTTGACATCTACTCAATTTCTTGGCATTAGAACCCTTGAGTATGAGATGCAACACATCCAGAAGTGTTATTATCCACATCCAGAAGTATTACTCTTATTGTATAATTGAAGAGAAAGGGGACAGATAAATGATTTTAGAAAAAAAATCTGTAAAGTTCCATGGATGTCATTCATTTGAGTGCTGAGATACAGAATCCTATTCTACAGGATCCTATTCTACTGTCTGCTTGTCTACCCCTAGCCTTTCTAGACTGATCCTTCGGGACTGGGTTATACAATTAATTTCAATATGGGAAATAGCCAGGAAACATAGTACTCAGGATTTCATGAAAAGTACATTTGGCAGCTTGTACTTTGAAATAGGAACATAGATATAGGAACCAAAATGGGAGAAAAATTTTGCATACTTGATTTGACATTGACTCAGCATTTGTACCTTTTGTCAATGTTCCAAATTCTTATACCTTTATGAGGTGGATTGCTTCTTCCAAGAATGCTTTTATTGTTGAAATACTGCTTTTAAGGCTAGCGATTTTTATTGAAAATATCAGGTTTTTTTCAGCCAGGAAAAGAAAACTGGAATACAACACACAAAGCAAGAGGTTGTCTTCTCCGCCAAAATTTGAAGGAGAACAGTTCCCAAGGCAGAGTCCAAAGCATCTGTTTGCACACCAAAGGGGTAACTGGGAGCTGGATGTATGAGTGGCAGCTAGGAAGAAGAAATTCTCAAACTCTGAAAAGTGGCTTACTTTTGAATAGACCATTTATATTTGTATGTTTTTTCCCCAGAATTAAGGTCTTACAATATGAGGAACCAGCTATCTTCTCTGCCTAGGCGTTAAAATGAGTCCTGGCCTGGCATTGTAGAAAGATGGGGAGGTGTAGTTATATAGGCCTGATAAGGGTACATAATTTCAAGAGGCACCTCCTCCATAGGCTTCTCTTTGTTATCCTCTGGTATTTGCCATCTCTCTCCACTTCTGTTTTCCCAATCCCTGCTGCTGCCCTTTCTTTAGAATAGCCTTTATGCTTAGCAAGCACTGAGTCTGCAGGAACTTACAATCAGGAGCTGTGGCTTGCTTACAGGAGGCTATGTTTTCCTGCATCACATATGAATCTTGTGAAAACTACAGAGCAATTAATTGAACTGTAAGGGCTTTTCTGTATATTTAAATTTGACATATGTGTCAGAAGCTATTAAATAATTATGTGATATGGATCAAGTCTGATGTACTGAAGATGTGTATGCCTTCAGAAGGCGATCCAGTAGTTCTAAAAGAAGAGATAGAGAATTGTTATCTCTAATGGTTATAGATAGTCCCTGACTTATGACCACAATGGAACCTGGAGTTTTGGTCATAAGTTGTAAGGCACCACATGACTGGACATGATTTTATTATCATATTTATGCCAATGGTGAGTTACTGTAGTCATAAAGCAAATTACATGTTCATTAAGCAAATCCATTCTTTTGAATGGGTGTTACCAGCAAAAAGTAGCAAATCTCAGTCATGTTATCATGGAACACTACAACCAGTTGTGAACGTAAGTTGGTTACCAAGCACCCAAAATGCAATCCACATGACTTTGCTGGAGGAGGTGAGAGTTGAAACTTGGAGGACAAATCATAAGTAGTTTTCTTACAGTTCATGTAACTTTGAACAAATGTTAAATGATCAATCATAAGTCAAGGACTACTTTTGTATAATTTAGAAGTCAATAATCATGAACAAGTCCCAAAGAAGAACTGTTTATTTTTTGTAAAAATGAATGGTGTAGATGCAGGAGATTTAGAAAAGTGAATATACCCTTTCTTTAGATTGTCCTGAAACTTGATCAGCCATAGGATATTTTAGCCAAGAGTTTGACTCCAGGAGTCAAAATCATATGGTATCATATATATACCAGATGAGGAATTATAGTGACTGCTTCCTTTTTTCTCCAATACCAGCAAAATTTGCATGATTTCTGACATATAAGTGTCAGCAATCAATTGAAAGTTCCATCAGACTTGTCAAGTCAACTTGCAGGGGAATGGAGTAACACTATAGCAATTTTGGGACCATTCCTGGCTGAGGTAAGCCTTGACCCACAAGATGTGCTTGCTGTATTGTGGCACTTTGGCATGGGTTTGTAATTTTGTATTTATCTCCTGTTCATATAGCAATACGACTTTGGCTATTTGTGTTCTCAGGGAGACCTTAACAATCTGTCATATTCTATATCTAGAAGGCAAGATCTCATGATTCTCTGAGACAAATATTGAGGCTTTTAAGATAAATGTTAGCCCTTTTGTGTTAGTATGGTAAAGAAATAGAAGCAGCAGAGACTGCAGGAGCGGTCTTTATTATTGTAGGATAAAATAACAAAATCTTGAGATCCTTTCAGGGTTTTTTTCTGCTCTATCTTACAGCAAACAAAATCACCTGTGATTATTTTAGGTTTCTTTTTCATGGTCCCGGCTTTTGCAAGACTGAATTTTCTTTTTGTCCTCCTTTAAAAGTTAATTGCTGTCTTCTCCCTTATGATAGTCAGATTTAAATTCTTTCAGGCAGCATACATATGCTTTACCTTTTTTTTAACAAAAAAAAATTATTTCAATTGTAGGCTTTATTCATTATACATAAGCACATATTGGAGAGGGAGTGGATTTTCAATGCAACACCAAGATTTATTGTAATTTATTAATAATAACTTCTACATGGGATGAATTTTGTCAGTCCTACATTGTTACTTGAGTTTTGCTAACTTCTTACTTCAGAAATGATGATTTGCATTTTTATATTGTCCATTTATTCATAAATATGTTGAATTTTAATTACTTTTAGATTTTATTGTGTTACAAAGATTTATTTTATATACATTTTTACTATAATTTAGATTGATTTTCATGTACTATTTCATATACAGATATTTGCTTGTCGTATACAACTTTAATTCAGAAACTTTTTAGTGATGGTTTATTTCAGAAAATTGAGAGAACAATTAAACAAGAATTTAGTTGTGTATGCCTTTAACAATGATTGCATCATATATTTGTGCTGGAAGTTGAGCTTCATATTATTTAAAATCTCTGCCCACTTGGTTTGATCCACTTATGTACTGTAAGAAATCTATCCATATACAGTATATATGAATATGATCTGTGGGGATAAAAGCAGTAGAAAATTTCTATCCAAAGTGTAGCACAGCGAGGTAGGAATGCAGTAGTAACCTGGTTTGCTCCTATTGTGTATTTTTTATTTATATAATCAGTCAGAACATGTTTTGCATCATTATAGGAATTTATCTAATTATATACATCAATAGGGAAGAATGGACAGAAGCCATCCAAGCAGTAGCAGACAGACTTCAGAGGCAAGAAGAAGAAAGAATGAATTGCAGCCCAACATCCCAGATTGACAACATTGGAGAAGAAGAGATGGATGCCTCGACAACCCACCATAAAAGAAAGGTATTTAGAATATTGGTTAACTAATTATTCTCTTACGTGATGATAAAAGAATGAAGGTAAAAAGTGGAAGATGGCTGAAATTAAGGCTGAATACCAGTTAGCTTTTGCAAGCAATTAACATTGGCTAGATACTACTTTTTTATGTTCATCAGTTGGCAAAGAGAAGGAGAGGGGGAGGGAGGGAGGGAGGGAGGGAGAGAGAGAACTATCTATATTTTCACACACTCAAAACAGATACTTAAAGGAGCCTGAGGTTGTACAAAGTAGACAGAATAACTGTTATAAGAGATTAAAGGAATAAAGTATTTGTGGAATTATCTTCTCTTGGCGAATGGTAGACCTAACAAATTAATCACTTTTTTTGGCTTTATTAACTATTTTACTGTTGTTTTTAAAAAAACTTTGAATCAAATATTTAAGTAAAATAAATGTTGAAAATAATGTGGTTTATTAATACAGAGATACTGGTGGATGTCCAAATAGACAACTTGAATATATTGATATGTGTGTTGGGGGTCAGAGCAATACTATTACTAATATTATAATTATTATTTCAGCAGTAGAGCATTGGGGATTGATTGGCTTACTATTTTACTATATCCTGAAAAATGAGCATGAAAAGTTCCTGCAATCTGATAAGAAAAATAACACATTAGGTTTCCTTGAAGGCATGTGATATAGTGATTATAGTTATTAGGTGAGATTATTAGAAGGATAATGAAAACATTATTATTGTGCATATTTGTCTTTAGGAGGATACAACTGGAGGATTAACTGTCTTTTTAGATAACCAAATCTCATCTGGTTAATGTGATTCATAAGAATGCATCAATAAAAGATATATTTTTTTTAGACCTAGCTTGCTTAAAAGTGTGGAAACTAATTACACTATAAGATTATTAATTATTGAGTGTTTGCGCCAAAGGATTCTTTTCCTATCTCTGGGAAAATGATTTCTCCATCTATAGCTAAAACATCCACCATAAGAGATGACAGACCAGTGGTGACTATCCTTTTCAGCACCAAGTGCTGAAATGGCAGTGCGCGCACACATGTACACACGTGCACACTGGAAACCAGAAGCACAACTCCTTGGCATGGCACATGGGAGCACCAGAAACCGGAAGCTCAGCTTCCCGGCCCACGCATGCACGCTAGCCACCTGGTCTTCCAGTTTCTAATGTGTATGCGTGCATGAAGACCAGCTGGCCGGCGTGCGCATGCGCACCAGGTAGCTGATCTTCCAGTTTCTGGCACTCCTGTGTGCATGAAGACCAGCTGGCCGGCGTGCGCATGCACACCAGGGAGCTGATCTTCCAGTTTCTGGCACCCCCATGTGTGTGAAGACTAGCTGGCCGCCGCGCCGGAATCTGAAAGAGCAATGGGTGATGGCTGGTGTGCCTGGAGAGATGGCTCTGCATGCCATAAGTTCGCCATCACGGTGATAGACCATCACATGAGATTGCGTTCAGCAGCTTGTAAATAATGTTTAGACTTTGAAATGATTCTATTTATTAAGCAGTGTTTTTTTCCTTTTGAAACGTGTTCTTCCTAGGGATCATTACATAAAAACATTAACTTTTCAATTCTGAAGTATATTTTTAAACAAGAAATGCTACTAGATTTCTATTTTGATTTTCTGGAGATAATTGTGACTTGTTTACAGAACAAAAAATCATTTAGTCCACTTAAAAGATTTTACAAACTGGGTTGATCACAAGCAATCTGCCAATTCTGCAAAGAAAACAAATAGGTTGATTGTTGATATTACAATATTTTGAAGTCACTTTTTGGTGTAGGAAATTTTCGTATGAAGCTTCAGAGCCAACAGTATGACCCTGTTAAAGGTTTTTGAATTGTCATATTTCTCTGTAGTTGATTATCTTTCTAAAAGTGGGAAAACATTTTGGAAAACATTTTGATAAATCTAATAATTTTCTTCTCTATGTTGTATAGCTATATAATTGTATATACTACATAGGATCATTGACGTGTTGATGTACTTCACTTTCAAATGTGTACATGCTTTCTTATATTGTAGATAGTAATAATAAAATGAGAATCAGAATTTGGAATCATACCATGCTGATTTGTAAAAAATTGCTTTTTTCTTGATAACCATAGATTTTACTGATGGACAACAATATTTTAATGAACACAATATCTGCAAGCTGTAAATTCCATTAATTTTTCATCTTATACTTCATGCAGACAATGAATGATTTTGATTACTTAAAACTACTTGGCAAAGGCACTTTTGGCAAAGTTATTCTGGTCCGGGAGAAGGCAAGTGGGAAATATTATGCTATGAAAATTTTAAAAAAGGAAGTTATTATTGCAAAGGTATGTTTATGTGTTTAATATAATTTTGTTGTAAATATAGATATTTCTGAAAATAGCTCATTTTCACTCTTATAAAACTTATTGGAATAAACTTCTTAAACTTCTTTATATTGTGATATAAAGGCTTTAATCAGACATACCAGAATTTTAAAGATAACAAGTTTCTCTTAAGTATAAGTCTTCTGGTTCAATGGAAGCTGGAAATGGGATTCATTCGCAATGTAGAGGCTGTTATTTTGCAGAAATTTTGATCCCCACCCCCCGGTCCTACAGTCCCATTATGTAATTCTATAAAGTAATTCTTAAAACCTCAGTATTGCATCTGGGTATACATTTAGTATAATAGTAAACAACTAACAATAAACAACCCAACTAAAGAATCTCTAAGACCGTCCCCACAAACACTAACAGGAGAAGCCACTAGAATATAAACTGAGAGCAAACCCCACTCCTTACTAACACTGATGATGTTATTTAGTTTGGGTAATGAAATGTTTGCAAGAAAATAGCCAAGCTCAGAATGAAGCAAGGAACACACAGTTAGTATACTGTGACACCAACTGCCCATACCAAACCAGTCTGTGACTATGTGTTGCAGAATAGTTGACTCTTGCTAGCAGGTCACCAGGATTTCAGGTAGAGCTTTTTCACCTTATCTCCTGTCTGATTTTTTTAACAACAGATATTGGGACTGAACTGTATTAAATTATATTCAAAAATACTTTTTGCTGAATAATTATGGCCCATCCCTACAGATTCAGTAGATGTTGTATGACATGTCATTCTTGATGAATACCATACTGTTTACATGTCATAGCAGCCATGGTCTACAGCATTTGTGCTCTAGATCTTGATTATTTATTTCTATGACGGCACATTTTAGAGATACATCGAATATTACAATATGAAAATGTTCTGCTCACAGAACATACCAAAAAAGGCCATTCTGAACATACCAAAAGAAGCCAACCATTGGTAGACTATTCTAACTTTAGTCTATAAGTCCTAATGGCCCATGTCAGATCGGAACACTAACAAAAGATTTTGCATCTCTTTGTATTCTTTTATACTTTAAAAAGTGATTATTCAAGGAAAGACTCATAATTTTCTGAACAATAAATACTGGATTCCATAATTCAATAGTACAGGAGACTAAAATTATTATTTTATCACAGTGTTGTAGCAATACTGTTTGTTATAGGTTTGATGTGAATGAATTATCATGTATGATGTATCCTTTTGAAGCTTTTGAATATCCTGTTTCCTTTCCCTTTTTAAAAATACTCAGTGTATGATATTCCAGAAACTTCTTACCTTTTTACAATAATATTTTGATGTATTTTGTTTTTTCTAAAATTACTGATTTTAATATTGTGTTTTTTATTTTTTAGGATGAAGTGGCTCACACACTTACAGAAAGTAGAGTATTGAAAAACACTAGACATCCTTTTCTAACAGTGAGTATGGATAATTAAATTTACAGTGTTTTGTAAAACTACTTGGAAATTATTCTCATTAATTTCTAGAATGTTTTACTGGATAGATTATTCCTAAACTATACAGTAATAAGGTGACTTTAAGTTTGGAGGTATATATTTAGGCATTATACTATAAGTGGAAAGAGAAGAGAAACAATTTTAGGAAATGGTTTGGGGATTATTAATTGTGTTTTAAAAAACTTGATGATTTTAAATTAAAAATTGATATAGAAATACTTTAAATAAATCATAGCATATTTTCAATGTCTTTGGTACCAGTACCATTATTTAGCTTAGTTTGGTTCAGTCCAGTTCTTAATTAATATATTTTAGGCTGATTTCAAGTGCATAATAGTCACAGTATATGTTCAAAACTTTGTCACCAGATGCAAAAGATGGAGGGTTGTTGTGTTTGAATGGCATATAGAAGAAATTTATACTATCATAAGGAACTGAGGAGAAAAAAACAATAATGGTAACCATCTGTTAGGGGAGAGTCAGATCTTAATGACCTGATAATGTTCTATCAAAGAGCTCAGTTTCATCAGTTCTGCAAAAGCAATCCAGTAGTGAAAATGTGTAATGGCAAGTTATCTATGCAGGCTGGCACTGCAGGTAGACTTCTCTCGGGTTTGGGATCTTCAGCAAAACTTCTTTCCGTGATTTTACTGGATTGGCAAGGATGGTCGGACAGGATGGTCTTGACGATACCCAGGCCATGAGTAAGACAGGTCTTTGAAAATGATAACCAGTATCTTCAATTATAGTGTACATTACTAGTGTTTTGTCATGTTCTTCCAACAGTATTGACATTTAAATAATTGTACCAACTGCTTCTCAGTGTACAACTAACAACCTACAAACACAAACTTTTCAGTTGTTTAAATGCATTGTGAAACTCAATGTATATATAATATATAACACTGTTAAGAGTATTAACACAAACACATGATTGTATGGATCACAGCATGTTTTTGTCTGGTCTTGTCTCTTCTGTCTCCTCCTCCCTACCTCTTTTCTTTCGAATCACCCATCGTACTATATTGCTTTAATTTTTTTAAGTAGTGCATTGAACTGTGTGTATGCAGCAATTCCTTAGAGGCAGGTGGCTTTGTGCAGGTATGCTCATCAAAAACAGAATGGGTGCCCCAATCTATATTCTTCTTATATGTCTTCTTGTTCCTCGCCGTTCCACCCTGCTCCGATTTTCCTACTCATCTTCAGCCAAGGTGGGATTTTTTTAAAAAAAGGCAACGAGAGTACAATTTTTCAGTTAAATCACCTAAAACAACCAAAAATGTCAGATGCAGTGACTTTTTGTTGAAATATAGAAGAAAAAATTGTTTGCAAAGAACACCAAAAATGCTTTAAAAATCCCAACTGATAAAGACACTAAATGGATTAGTTGAGAAAATAGAATGGAACTGATTCATACATATAAAAATAGGTTTACAACTAGCTAGTATTCTTGTTGAGAAGATAAATGGGGTAACCAACAGTATTAAAATTCAAAAGTGTTTTTCAGATTCAGCCCAAATGACATATATCAGCGATCCAGGATAAAAACTTTGCTAGGAAAAACTTAATGCATATTCAAGAGCTAGATCAGATGTTCTAGCATTTATTTTCTTCTATAATATATAGATTGGAACAAGATCAATAATTATTATTGCTATCTAATAGACAAGATATATTTTATTTAATCAGAAACAATCACAACTTCCACTACAATGCAAATTTTTAAAGGTAAAACTATCCCAGTTATTATTTCTGGCAATTTATTCAGTTTGCAGTAAATTACTTTTTCAACTTTAATATTGATACCTTCACTATTCCCTAGACTGGGTAGTATTTAGGACTTATAATTCATGGCATTGGACCTCTAGTCACTTGAACAATTTTGTGAGCTAAATAGACAATTAGTTAGATATATAAACTGCTAGGCACATATAATTTATCTTGGGTAAAAAAATCATGAATATACTTTGTGACGTTCATTCAAAGCTACATTTATGGACTATAATTTTAAGTAAAAAGCAAATGTTACAATTTAAGTTTTTTAGTAGAATGACTTTAAGTATATGTTAAATGTTTTCAGAAAAACTATCTTTAGATGATTCTCCCATAAAAATATCTGCTATCCATGCCTTTATAGAGAAGTCTTCCCTATACCACTCAAGTGTTTAAATAAAACACTGTTTCATTGGCAATTCCAATGAAGTTATATTATCCCCCTATATATGCATGTAGGGAAAATATGCCATGGATCTAGAGCAGGACTGTCAAACTCGCAGCCCACAGGCCAGATGCTTCACGCGCTGACCATGCCCACTCCTGGTTTAACGAAGGGGGAAAAAAGTCACGATACGTCACGTGACGACACAAGTTTGACATCCATGATCTGGAGAAACACCTCACTGACCCAATCTGCACAGCTGTAAAATAAATATATATTGTTCTCCAGTTGTGTACATTCTGTCTTGACTGGAGTTTCTGCTGGTAGTAGATCAGTTTGGAAAAAGTGTACTATTCTCATGTTGCAAATGTATTAATTTAGTTTTCTGCTAAAACCAGTTATGAACTCCATTAAAGTTCTTTTTGTGCTCCTCTATATTTCTATTTTATATTGTTTGAAATATTCTTGAGAAGAGTGGTTTCTCATTTAAATCTCTTAATAAAAATATACCATTCTTATATGAAAGTTAAATTTAGTTGTCATTATATTAAGACTATATTTAGCTTTCAGGACATTTTTCTAGAAATTAATTTCACCCACAGGTCCTATTTCTTTCATGCTTTTTGGATTATATTTAGGGTTTGCCATGAATTATTCATATGAGGCTTATTCCTTCAACCTTTAATTTTATCTTCAGACCCAAATAATAAAAAAATAATTCAGAATAGTAATGTTATAGAGTTCTTTATTTAAGATAAAAAAGTATCTTCATATTGCAGAGAAGAAGGGTTAAATATTGTGGAGAAAAAGCCCTTTTTAGCTACTTTCTATTTACCTTCAGAGTGATCTATATTTCTTCTCCCAGCTGTATCATGTATTCACATATTTATAAGTTTCAAATGATCCTGTATGAGTCAATAGAAGTGGTATTTTTATACAGCTGTAATTATCTGGACAAGACTTAATAAGGTTTCCAATAAACAGATTATACTTCAGAGCCTTATGGTGTGTCTTGTTTATGTCAGTTTCTTTAGCATATCCAATTGTTGCTAATCTACCAAGACATTTTTGGTCCAGAATATTTGCATCAACAGTTCTGTTTTGAATACTTAGCAGTGATAACCTCCAATATAATAATGCTGAACTAAACAGATGGGATACTTCAAATTCATACACAGTGAAAGGTTTATTGAGAAAAGAAAAGTGATAATGGGTTCATCATTTATATTTTGATATATATTGTGGGTACTTTACACTATCATGATATTGTATTAGAATAGCTGCAAATTATAAAAGATTCCAGAGAAGAATTCATTTTTTATTATGAGTTGCTGTAAAGAGAGGTACACTTTTTCTTTGCATCATAGCAATAGCACTTATACTTATATATTGCTTCACAATGCTTTACAGCCATCATATTTCCTTTTGCCCCTAAGACAATTATTCAACCTAATTAAAATCAAAAGAGGAGTAAAATAGCTTGCAGCACCTAAAACAGCTTGCAATACCCTGTCTACAAAAATAAAATTCAGTGGTGACAAAGGTAAGTAATATCAAGAAAAACTAAATGCACAGGTATATAATAGGTGGTACCTGGCTTAATAGTAGTAACTGTGAGAGGGATCTTCTAGTCCTAGTGAACAATCATTTAAATATGAGCCAGCAGTGTGCTTTAGCTGCCAAAAAAGCTAATGCAGTCCTGGACTGTGTTAACAGAGGAATAGAATCAAGATCATCTGAAGTGTTAGTATCACTTTATAATGCCTTGGAAAGACCACACTTGGAATATTGCATACAATTTAGGTCACCACAATATAATTAAGATGTTGGAACTCCACAATATAATTAAGATGTTTGAAGAGTGCAGAGAAGAGAGCAAAGATAATTAGGGGATTGGAGGCTAAAACATACAAAGAATGATTGCAGGAATTGGTTATGTCTAGTTTGATGAAAAGAAATACTAGGGTAATATGATAGCAGTGTTCTAATATCTAAGGGGCTGCCACAAAAAAGAGGAAGTCAACCTATTCTCCAGAGTACATAATGGCAGATCAAAAAACATTGGATGGAAACTAGTCAATGACAGGACCAATAAAGAAATAAGGATAAATTTCCTAACAGAACAATTGATCAGTGGAACAGCTTGCTTTTAGAAACTGGTTGCTCCATCACTGGATGATTTTAAGAAGAGATTGGACAGTCATTTATCTGAAATGATACAGGGTTTCCTGCTTGAACAGGGAGTTGATCTAGAAGACCTCCATGTTCTGTTAATATCTGTTAAAACACAATATAATGCAAATGTGTGATTTCATAAATATTTGAGGATTGCTACCTCAAATGCAGTAATAATGGACACAAAAGATGATGGGAATTAGATGTAATTTGCAAATTAAAATGAAGTAAGAAATTATCTATATTTGAAAGTAGAAAAGGAATTAGAATTTTTGATAAATGCTGAAGTCCAAAGTACATTGAAGTAGTAGAATAAAGGCTATCATTAGACACTTTAAAGACATGTCGACATGTCCTTATCTCAAAAGTATTTTTCAAAAGGCAACTAGACTTCCTTGGTTTTTTTCCTTGAAAATGTTTCACTTCCCATCCAGGAAGCTTCTTCAGTGCCTTTTGAAAAGCACCTTTGGGACAATCATGAGCTGGATGATTGAGAATCTTTATGGACACATTTTCTTTAATCTCTTTTTTGTCAGTGACAAAGTGCCATTCTTGAGCATAGGTTACAAAGACCATATTTATTCAGAAACAGCTGAGCTTGAATTTATTAAAAGGTTCCGATCAATTTCCTGCAACTTATTCAGTGGCAGGATTTTCTTACACAGTATGTCAAGAAATCACTTAGTTGAATTCATTAATGCAAACATATTTGTGATACTACTAACACTTCTGTTGTGAATTACCAAGAAGGTCACAATCTCTATCCATACCTTCCCCTGATTTCCTTTTATACTTTAGCTGTTCAAAACCATTCATAGTGTTTAGTAACCCTCTTAACTATTTGCTTGAAGCATTAATTCCTTTTCTAGGACTGACACAAATAGAATTGTCATATGTTTGTGCATACTCGTCCTCAGACAATGTTAAAAGGCCTTAAATCTGGTGTGCTGTGCTTTTGAGGGGACACATAATTTGAAACTTGAGCAGTAGTTTTTTAAGAAGCATTTCCCAAAACACTTCTCTAAGTTGTTTGCATGGCTGTTTTTATTTGGAAATTAAATCACATTTTATATGTCATTTAACACTTTTATAGTGTTAAATTCCATTGACCTTCATATTACTTCTGATTATATAGTTATAGGACTGAGGTATATATGAATTTAATATATGACATGATTATACTGTGTATTTGTCTTTATTGCTGGAAGGTAAGCTGCTTTAATAACTGCAATTTTTTTCCCTTTAAGTCTTTGAAATATTCATTCCAGACCAAGGATCGATTATGTTTTGTGATGGAATATGTCAATGGAGGAGAGGTAAGATGTGAAGCAACTAGTGTTATTGTTTTGATTTCTGTCTTAACTATTAAGTCTACTGACATAGTCCTTTGCTGTAACTAAAATCTCGGTAACATTTCTTTTTACTAACACTTGTCCTATCTACTCACATGCATTTCTCAATTTGCTGAATAAATAAATTTGCTGAATAAATATCAAATAACTAAAAATATTGAACTTCTTAGTCCCTTCCTGTGAGCAAAATGCATAGCAAGTTTAAGATGATCTATGGGTAGGGAAGTTTGGATTTTTAAAAAAGGAATTTTCTGCCATTTACTTATTACATAAACTTTTTTCTTTTATTGAATCTCAGAATATTAATTTAATTGAGACTACCTTTAAAAGTATTAGAATTTCACTTGTTTTATCCTTTTTTATACTTCAGTTTTATTAGACAATTTACCTCTATGTTTTGCTATAAAATTCTCTATAGAATTTAAACATTTTGATTATAACAAAAATACCATTGAAGACAGCGTTATTCTTCATCTTGACAAAATCTCTCTCTCTCTCTCTCTCTCTCTCTCTCTCTCTCTCTCTCTCTCTCATGATTCTTATTTCATAGCATTTCTTCTGTAATTCTATTTAATTTAAGTCTCGTATTAGAAATATTTTGGTGAGGATATGCAAGTACTTAATTAACTTTTTATTCTAGAGTATTTTGGGACAGAAAGTTATATTCTTATGATAGTACAAATTGGATTTAATATGCAGAAAACAAAACTTGTAAAGAAAACCCATTTTTAATAATTGTTGGAATTGGATTGCTATTGAATTCCCAATGCATATGAACAATGTTGCTGCAATTTATATCATACAGCATTACATATCTTAAATATTTAATTCACAAAGTTTATGAATGAATGAGTTATCATTAATTTAATGGAATTATATGGTTATATCTTTGGTAACATGAGAAAGTGGATCTTAATGAATTCTGCTGGGAGTTAGGTTGGATAAAATAGCTTCAAATAATTAAGGATAAAATTTCCCAGAAACAATGGGAAATTCTACCAAGTAACATCATGAAGGAGAAAACAGTTTTCATAAGAAGGGAAAATAACAGAAATCTAAAGATGCCAGTATGAATGAGCTCAGGTTTGAAGTACCTGAAATAACAGAGAAGATTTTCTGTCTCCATTAGAAAGAAAGAAAAAAATAAAAAAGAACATGCGGCATTGTGAGAAAAAATATTAAAAATAAAAATATTAAAGTGATAATGGGTTATTATGAGAAGGCTGAATTTCTTAACTCTTACTTTGCTCCTCTCAAAATGTAGAATTTCTGCATTCCAGAAATGGAGCAATATGTTTCTAACAGATATTAATTATCTGTTAAGGACTAACAGAGAAGCACTGACTATTGACTGAATAATCAAACAAAAGGAATGCTCATTAATGACCACTTCATTTTGGAAAGAATTTTGATTGGAGTACATTAGGGTTCTGTTTTGGATCCTATGCTGTTCAATAGTTTTATAAATGACTTGGATAAGAGAGTTTGGGGGACACTTAGAAAGTTTGCAGTTGGTATAAAGCTGAGAGGTAGGGCTAATGCAAGATAAAAAATTCAAAAAGATCTAGACAGGGTTGAGCACTGGCTGAAGTGAGCAGAATAGAATTTAGCAGGGAGAAATGTAAAGTTCTTCATCTGAGTGGGAAACAAAAATATAGGATGATGTGAGCTGGCTTGGAATAGTACATGTGAAAAGAGTCTGGGTGTCCATGTCAATCAGAAGTGTGATAGAAAAGATAAAAGGTAAATGCCATCCTGAGATGCACTAACAGGAATATAGAACCTGTGTCACAGGAATTAAGTGTTCAGCTCTAATCTGCTCTGCTCAAACCACATATGGAATACTATGTACAGATCTAGGTAGTATAATTCTAAAAGGTACAGTGAAAAAAATGAGTTAGAGAAAGGCTATCAAAATGGTAAAATATCTGGAAGGCAAATCCTATGAGGAATGGTAAAGGATGTGGGTTAACTTTAGCCTGTAGAAATGACAGGAGAAACTAATTATGATAGCAGTGTTCAGATATATTAAAAGTTAAGGTGTGGATAATTTCTAGTGCTCCAAAGGCAGACCAGTAGATTACATGGAAGCAGGCTGTGGCTGTTCATCAAGAGGAACCTCTTGAATACTTAATGATCCTAATTGGACTGGAATTTCTGTTGCTAAGTGCAGTGGTCATTAGGTGGAACATCATGTGACTACACTAGTAAAGGCAGTTCCAGTAGTCTTGATTGTGGTTGTTAGGCAAGGACCATGCTATCATTAAGTGAAGACCGCATCTTTCTCCTGCCCTGCATGAACTGCCATCTTTGTCGTGCTGTTCCCCACCATCTGAGTCCTGGGAGCTCCTTTCAGCAGATGAGGTTGCTCCACTCTGCCATGCTTGTCTCCACTTCAGCTCCCTCCCACCTACCTCTCCCATCTCTGCCCTTTTGGTTGCCCTGCACTCTGCTGCTGTCGCCTACCCCACCACCCCCAGCTGACCTTCGCCATCTTCTTCCTCCTCGCAGAAGTGTCGTGGAGGTCTCGTGAAGGGCCAGCAGCTGCCTCGGCCAGGTGCACCTCATCAACAGAAGGAAGAAGATGGCGAAGGTCAGCTGGGGGCAGTGAGGGGTGGGTGGGATACAGGGCAGAATGTAGAGTAGCAGAGTGGTGGTCAAAATGGTATAAATGGGAGGAAGATAGATGGAGAGGGGAAGTTGAAGCGCATGCAGTTGTAAATGTGGGAGGACTGCAAAGGACCCAAATTTTGGCCATGTGACCACATGTTGCAATGGCCATGACTGAGGACTAGTTGTAACTACCATTTGTTTAGCGCTATTGTAATTTTGAATAGTTGCGGAATGAATGGTCATAGCCTGAGGACTACCTGTATGAGCTCTTAGGCAAGTTGCCAAATGTTGTTTTCTAGAGGTCTTCAGAGGCTAGATGAGCTTCTATTGAGAGATGCTTTGTTAGACCCTACACTGAGGAAGGGAATGGATTCAGTGATATCTGACACAGATACAGATACAGATAATCAGAGTTGGAAGGGACCCTGTAGGTCATCTAGTCCAACTCCCCGCCCAAGAAGAAGACCCTACACCATTTCTGACAAATGGCAGTCCAATCTCTTGAAAGTCTCAAGTGATGGCACTCCCACAACTTCTGAGGGCAAGCTGTTCCATTGGTTGATTGTTCTCAATGTCAGAAAGTTTCTCCTTGTTTCCAGGTTAAATCTCTCCTTGTTCAGTTTCCATCCATTATTCCTTGTCTGGCTTACAGGCACTTTAGAAAATAGCTTGACCCCTTCCTCCCTGTGGCAGCCCCTCAAATATTGGAAGGCCGCTATCATGTCTCCCCTGGTCCTTCTCTTTACTAGACTAGCCAAGTCCAGTTCCTGCAACCGTTCGTTGTATGTTTTAGCCTCCAGTCCCCTAATCATCCTGGTTGCTCTTCTCTGTACTTTTTCTAGAGTCTCAACATCTTTTTTATAATGTGGTGAGCAAAACTGGATGCAGTAGTATAGGTGTGGTCTTACTAAGGCTTTATAGAGTGGTATTAGTACTTCCCTTGATCTTGACTGTATCCCTCTGTTAATACAATTTAGGATTGCATTCGCTTTTTTGGTGGCAGCTGCATACTGCTGGCTCATATTTAGCTGGTTGTCCACTAAGACTCCAAGATCCCTCTCACAGTTACTGCTATTGAGCCTGGTTTCACCCAGTCTATATGTGTACTTTTGGTTTTTCTTGCCTAAGTGTAGGACTTTATTTTTCTCTATATTGAATTTCATTTTATTAGATATGGCCCAGTGTTGTAGTCTGTCAAGATCCACCTGGATCTTGAGCCTATCTTCTTGGGTGTTAGCTATTCCTGCCAGCTTAGTATCATCTGCAAATTTGGTAAGTTCCCCTTCTATTCCCTCATCTAAGTCGTTAATGAAGAGTACTGGGCCTAAGATGGAACCTTGTGGCACCCCACTGCTTACTTCCCTCCATGTAGACTTAGACCCATTAAGGACTACTCGTTGAGTACGGTTTGCCAGCCAGTTGCGAATCCATCTAGTAGTGGTGCTATCTATTCCACCTTTTTCTAGCTTACTAAGAAGTAGGTTGTGGTCTACTTTGTCAAATGCCTTGCTGAAATCTCAATATATTAAGTCCACGGTATTTTGCTGGTCTACTAATTTAGTCACTGTGTTGAAGAATGAAATAAGATTGGTTTGGCATGATCTGTTTTTAACAAACCTGTGCTGACTGCTAGTTATTATTTTACTTGTTACTTTTCATCAAGATCAGACAGGTGTTCTCTTACTATTTTTTTACTTATTTTAACTTTTATTTCTGGTCTGTCTTTTACAGTTACGTTTTTGGTGGGTTGAGCTATAGTTTCTTTTTGCGTGAAGACAGATGCAAAGAATGAGTTAAGCAGTTCTGCTGTTACTTCCTTGCCATCTTCTCTCTTTAGTGGACCGACTGTTTCCTTGACTTTTTTTCTTGTTATTTATATGTTGGAAGAAACTTTCTAAAATTATCTTTGACTTTTGTTGCAAGTCTTTGTTCATTCTGAGCCTTTGCTATCCTGACTTCGTCTTTGCAGATTCTGGCTATCTGCTGATATGCCTTAGTTGTATGTCCTTCTTTCCATTTTTTTGTACTTGTCCTTTTTTCTTTCAATTTGCCAGAGAGATCTTTGTGCAGCCATGCTGGTTTCTTCTTAGATTTCTTGTTTTTCTTTCTCAGTGGTATTGTGCTGGTCTGGGCTTCTATGATCATACTTTTTAGAGTTTCCCAAGATTCTTGAGTTGTTCTCCCCTTTAGGATTTTCATCCATGGAATCTTTCCCAAGTTCTCTATGAGTTTATTGAAATCAGCTCTTTTAAAATCCAAGACTCTGGTATCATTATGTTCTGTTGCCTGTGTTTGTGTTATGTTGAATTCTAGTATGACATGGTCACTTTCACCCAAGGTTCCTGCTGTTTCAACTCCCTCTATCACTTCTTCTCTGTTTGTAAGAATTAAGTCCAGTATGGCTGTCCCTCTAGTTTCACTCTCTACCTTTTGGACAACAAAGTTGTCAACTAGGTTGGTTAGGAACTTATTTGATTTTTCACAGTGCAGAATTAGTTTTCTAATTGATGTCAAAATAATTGAAGTCTCCCATTATTATTGTTGTGTGTTTCCTGCATATGATTGTTAGTTGGCTGGCAAAAAGGACATCTATTTTTTCTGCTTGATTGGGTGGCCTATAATATATGCCTATGGCCATGTCATTCTTTTTTTCTTTTATATTGACCCATATGCATTCTAGGAGGGTTTCATCTTTGGTTTTATGCATTTCTGTAGCAGTATAGTGGTCCTTTACATACAGTGCAACTCCACCTCCTCTTTTATGGGGTCTGGTTTTTTTTGAATAGTTTGAATCCTTCTACCAGTATATCCCAGTCATGGGTTTCATCCCACTAAATTTCTGTTATTCCAACTATATCATATTTACCTTCATGTATTCGTAGGCCGAGTTCACCCTTTTTGTTCCCCAGACTTTGTGCATTTGTATATAGGCACTTGAGATCTTTATGTCTGACACTGTGTTTCCTGTCTACATAACCTGTGTTGTGCCTGCCTGTCCCTACTTTCTTGCTACCTGTTTGATTAGTGCACATGGTATGGCACTCACTATTAAATGCTTGGTTTTGGTTGGCATCAAGGTTGATAATCTTACCTGCACAAGCATCTATTTTGTATGCACTGGTATCCTTATTAGTTTTAGGTTGCTGGGGACAGAGATGTTCTGAATCCATTAATTCTCTGTCCCCGCTGTTCAGTTTAAATGTTTATCCAGAAAATCTGTGAATTTAATGCCAAGTAACTCAGTCCCTTTTTTTGATGGATGCAAACCATCTCTTTGTACAGTTTTTCATTGGACCAGCTGCAGACATCATGACTAATAAAACCAAAACCTTCCCTTTTACACCACTCCTTTAGCCACACATTAAACTCTGCTACACGCTGCCCTTTCCCTTTTTGTTCTTTGTATACTGGTAGAACCTCTGAAAAGATAAGCCTATAGTCCATATTGCTAAGTTCATACCCCCAGCTCTGGAAGTCTTTCTGAACAGAAAGTACATCCTTCTGGGACAGATCATTTGTACCAAGATGTATAATAGCATCAACATCACAGCTCTTGCTGGCATTCTTGACTATCTTAAGAATTCGCTTCTTGTCTCTGCTGGCAGTAGCACCTGGTAGACACCTGACCTCTTTCAAAACCTCAGTATTCTTTCCTAAATTTACATCCCTTACAATTGAGTCCACAACCAGAAGGTGGCTTCTCATTTTGGATGCCTTGCTCTTCTTGTGTGAATGGTGTATAATACCTGATTCACACTTTCTCCTTTCCAAAGTAAGTTCTTCTTCTAGGACCATGATCCCTGGCTCCCTACTCCATTCCAAGTTTATTCTGTGATTCTAATTATCGTTATTGGCTCAATTTTGTGAACTATATTAACTTTGTATCTAATTGTGTTCATCTTTGTTGAAACTGAATTACCTGAGTTACCATTATCTGATGGTACTGATGAATATTCATTATCTTTTAGAAATCTTAGAGAACTGGTAAAATACCATAGGACTGGAAGACACCAAATATTGTTCTTATCTTTAAAAAAAGAAAACCAGTTTGGTGTAATGGTTAAGGCATCAAGCTAGAAACTGGGAAACCATGAGTTCCAGCACAAAGCCATCTGGGTATCCTTGGGCCAGTCAATTTCTTTCAGTTTTAGAAAAGCTTGCCAAGAAAGTTACAGGGATTTGACCAGGGGTGGGATTCAAATTTTTTAACAACCAGTTCTGTGGGTGTGGCTTAGTTGGTGGGCGTGGCTTGGTGGTCATGTGACTGGGTGGGCCTGGTTTGGTGGTCTTGTTATTGGTTGGGCGTGGCTAACTCAACATCACTCACATCGAGGCACGCATCTCTTCGCCTGGCCTCTCATGACTGTGGGGATGCTACAACAATTGTAACTGTGAAAAATGGCCATAAGTCACTTTTTTCAGTGCCATTGCAACTTTGAATGGTCACTCCACACAAGCAAAGTACCAGCAGAGACGGAAAAAACAAAACTCCAGAGAAGTTCCTGAGACAGGAAGTTTAGTCCTGCCAAGAATGTAATAAGGGTTAACGGGAGAGGCAGTTTTTGTAAGCAACATCAGAATGTTTCCTTCCTGCCTTCCTTACAGGATTAGGCCAGTAATTTCTTCTAACAACCGATTCTCTGAACTGCTTACAACGTTAACAACCGGTTCTAGAGAATAGGTGTGAACTGGTAGAATTCCACTCTGGATTTGTCCACGCTGGCTATGAGAATCGGACATGATCAAATAGAAGAAAAAAGTGGAAGAAAAAAGAAATATTTCAAAAGCAGAATGTAATGACTGCAGAATAGTCAATCTGATGTTGATACTTAAGAAGATTCTTGGTGACTCTTAAATAAATTAATCTGCAAGCATCTCAAAGCAATATGATTACTACTAAAAGTCATTGTCTATTTGTTAGGAATACGTATTATTAGCTCTGTCCTATATCATTTTTTAAAATGATTAATAGGTAATTTTGTTTTTAACAAAACATTTAACAAAGTATTCTAGGACAGTCTGATTATAGCTAGTCTACAAATATAGGTAGCATGCATGAGAACTGAACAGCATATATAGCTACCTCAAAAATTTTACTGAAAGAGTGCTCATTGGTAATTCTTAATCCAGTTGAACAAAAGTGTATGCTAAGAGATTCAGTGCTATATGCTCTGATGTTAAGTAACTTGAAAAAGTGGAGGACAAACTTATCAGATTTGCAAATGACACAACACTGCAAATATTCTACAAGAAAGAAATACAATTTAAATTAACCCTGATAAGATAGAGGAATGGTTGAAAATAAGGGATGAAATTTAAGAGACAAATGCAAAGCTCTTCCCTTAGGTAACAAATCAAGTGCATTGGCATTGAAGTGAGCATTACAGACTAATGGCATTTATAAAAAATATGACGGAATAATAATTTATTGCCAACTGAATGTAACTAAGTGACATGTTATACTGAGAAAGGCAAATACAATTATTTCCAAATAGAGGGAAGTAATAGTTCCACTTTATCCTGTGTTACTAAGATCCTCAACTTGAGTACTATGACAGTACATGTAGTTCTCAACTTACAACCATTTGTTTAGCAACCATTTTAAGTTACAGCTGCACTGAAAAAAGTAATTTACAACCAGTCCTCCTACCACTTATAAGTGTCTCAGCATCCCCATCGTCATACAATCAAAATTTAAGTGCTAGGCAACTAGCATGTATTTTCAGGATTTGCAGCATTCTGGGCTAATGTGATCACCATTGGTGACCTTCCCAGCTAGCTTCTGACAAGCAAAATTAATGGGGGAAACTTTATTTACTTAATGACCATATGATTCACTTAACAATTGCAGTGATTTGCTTAACAACAATGGCAAAATGATAGAAAAATTGGGCACTACTCCTTTAACAATTGCCTTTCTTAGCAACAGAAATTCCAATCCCAACTGTGGTTATAAGTTGAGGACTACCTGTATCGTGCAGCCTACTTTAAGAAATAAAGAATAAGGAAACAAGATGAAGAAACTAACCCTTTGTAAAAAAAAAAAAGATTTTAAATGCTAAATATGTTTAATGTTGAAAAATTGAACAGTGTTTAAGTTCCTGAACAAATTCACACATAAGTAATTCAAGTTATGTTTTTTTCTGATACTAAGCACAGAAAAGGAGTAATAGATCTAGCTAGAACTGCATCTTCTGAATGAAGTTTGGGTTGGAACTTCTTATCCAAAGAAAAACTTTATAGTGGAACAAGTTGCTCAGAAAAGTGGATTTCCTTTTGCCGGATATATTCAAGCAGAGACTAAAATAGTCATTTACTTTGATGCTTTAACTGAAATTTCTGATCTGATAGGGGTTGGATTTGAATGTTTAAATTGTTCTTTCTAATGCCTAGATTTAGCAAACACACTTTTTAAACCATACTCATTATTTTGTTTAATATAAAAGTTTTGGTAGAGTGATTGGTAGAATTCCTACCTTAGTTCCTTTGCTACAAATTAAAAAAAAACAAGGAGAAAAAGGAGCTGAAAGAAAAAAGTAGAGAATGATGATGATGCACATTTTTCCTCTGGTAACTGAAGGTTAAATGGGTAGCAAAGAAAATGCCTTAAACAAGATTGGTATATTGATTAAAATGCTGATTTAACAGCTCGCTTTTCCCCCTTGGAAACCTGGAAAAGATAAACCAGCTGCTATCTAAGAGTGCTGAATGTCCACTGAGAGTACACTATCTATCATCACAATATGGTGATGAGAGGTGTTTTATGTTTGTGTTAATTTCCCCCACTAAATCAGTAATTATTGCAATCCTGTCCCTGCTATTTACCCTGCAGCTGTTTTTCCATTTGTCGAGAGAGCGGGTATTCTCTGAGGATCGCACACGCTTCTATGGTGCAGAAATTGTGTCTGCTTTGGACTATCTGCATTCTGGAAAGATTGTATATCGTGATCTCAAGGTAAAAAAAAGTAATCAAAATGTTGTTTTTGAAGAGACTATTGGGAGAAACAAAGTAATTATGAAAGTTATGCAATTTTGGGAAAAATAACTAGAAAATTGTGGTCTAGATTGAAGTTCATCAAAATGCTTATTATTCAATTTTATATTGTGAACTGTATAACTTGGCATTTGTTTAAATAATTCATAAGAAAGATTGAGTTTAGTGATATGAATAAAGGATTGTGCTAATTTTGTTGCTTCTTTTCATCAAACACATATAAAACCACATATAAATGCTACAGTTGTAATTAAACTCCATCAATGAAAACAGGGACTTCAGTTTTTAAATGTTCTAATAGAATGTTCAGTGCTAACCTATCTCAGAAAATACAGAGAAGCCCTTTTGTCTAAGTTTATTTTGCATATTCAGTTAGCTGGACATGATTGGAAGCGTTGTTTTCCTCATTGCAACTGGCTTTGACACATTGAGGGTTCTTTTGTTTTTACTTTAAACTTGGGTAAATCAAACTTAAGTGTTGATATTTTGTTAGAAGTTCATTTTCATTTTAAGTACAATGTTTCATATTTTCCCATTGTGGTTTCATATTTTGTGAAGCATGTCAGTGCCTAAATAATTCAGAATAATAGTATTATTTGATTAAAGCAAGGGCTATGAAGGGATTCTTAGACCGGAAAATGGATTAAATATGAATCACTAAAGAGAATAATCACATAAATGGATTTACTGTTTGCAAATATTCTTTCCAGTTGTATATTTATTCTCAATAATCCAGAACCAAACTATGTTTGCAATCCTGTTACTTATAATACCTACTATTATTTCATTTTCATGTAGATCTTGACCTATAAGAATTTGATCAGTGATTGTTCCAAGTTATAATGGTGCTGATCGAATGGTGGTTACCACCATTGAGTTGTTACCTGGAGAAGTGACTAGATCCAAAGCAATCAATTTTTCTCTGTTTTTCCTCCTCTCAATTTTCAACGTCACAATATATGTTGTTTTTCCATTTCTGATTATGATAACTCTCAATATGTTTATAGTAGTTTAAAACTGAATGTAATCAAAGTCAAACTGGATTATTACAATATAAAGTATAGGGGGTTTGTAATCATTTTTAATAGAGGAGCCTGGAAAGAAATACGTATAAAAAGGTTGAACCTAGGTTTTCAGAAACAGCATATTATTTTTTCTAGGCTGTTCTATTAATTACAGTTGAGGAATTCTTACTACTTATAAAGTTAAATATTTAGGAGATATTTAAAACAGATTACACATACCAGAAATTAGAACTTTCATTTCTAATATTGGTTTTACATAGAAAGTATAGAAATGACATAAACAACATTTGTGAACATAACTACAATGAAATAGTATAGTCTGTATCTTTTGTGCATTGCCCAGAACCACTTCTATGAGTGGATAGCTATAGGCAGGTAGTTCTCAATTTACAACCATTCTTTTAACAATGGTTTGAAGTTATAACAGCCTTGGAAAAAATGAATTAATGACTTATCCTTAAAAATTCATTGCACTTTCCCTGTAGTCACATGATGGCAATACAGGTACTTGGCAATTAGTTCACATTTATAATGGTTGGAATATCATGCAGTCATATTATCACAATTTATGGCCTCCCTAGCCAGCTCCAGACAAGCAAATTCAGTTAGGGAAGCTGGATTCACTTAACACCCATATGATTCACTTAATGACCACATGATTCATTTAACAACTGTGTTAAATCAGATCATTGACATGATGATTCACTTATTGACTGCTTCATTTAATGATAGAAATTCTGGTCCCAATTGTCGTTGGACAAGAATTATACAATGGTTGAAATAAACATATAACCAACCAACCAACCAGCCAACCGACCGGGAAGTCTTTCCATTATGGAAGACTTTCACTGTGAATAATGCTTTCTGTACCTTTCTATAAGATGCAGTTGATTGACAAACATTAAAAAGTAGTTCATACCAATTCTTTCCATAGTTTTTCAAGGCTTTTGAGAAAGTATTTTGTATTTGATGTATGAATTTTGCATGGTATTGAATAGATTTTTTTATTTTAAATGATATGGATACACATCCATTCTTCAGATGCTTGTAATGTTTTTACTTGATGAAATTTAATAAGCTTAAATATCGACATTATTGAGCTTGGGTCACTTGAAATCGGATTGGAATTTGTTACTAACTCCTTAACAAAATTATATTCAGACATCTTTTTTATCAGTAATCAAGTCTCTTTGTATGTTCAGCCTCTCTGTGTTCAAAGTTTTAGTGGTCAAAAATTTGGAGAAGAGGATTAGAGACCAGACTTCTAAAGTGTGCTTCAAATATGGTTATGATAACTAGGAAAGTGCAAAAAATAGAAAATATTTCTAAAAAAACTTCTAAAATCAAACAAAGCAATCCCCCAGAATGTTTTGTGTTGTCCCAGGTTTTAATCAAAATAAAATTTTAGAATGATTTTCATGAGGAAGTAGAAAGACGACTCTTCCATTTTCTCTCTTCATTCTTCCTCTCAGCAGTTGCCTGTTGAGAGGAACCTCTATTTTCCTCTCCCTTAATTTCCTAATGCCCTCCCTTCTCTTCTTCCTTTACCTGCTGCCATTGATATCTGTGGGTTTTTATTACTCTTACTCCTTTCATTCCAAGAACTACCCAGTATTTCTGTGGTTTAGTCAATATCTGGAACAAAACAACAATTTCATTTTGGTGCAGATAAAAACTTCTTGAATATTTGTGTTCATGTGTTGCAACTATTTTGTGTATGTAATATTACATACATTATTTTTTTGCACATTTCTACTAATAATAATCATTAATTTCTTCATACCAAGAGAAAATATGAAGGAGTATATTGAACTATTGTACAGTAAAGATGTCATCACTCAGTGCCCCTTAGAAACATATCCCCTACTTATAAAATCTTGCATATTTGGGTACTTATTAGGTACTCTCTTAGTACAGGTAGTCCTCAATTTACAACAGTTCATTTAATGACCATTTGAGATTACAGTGGCACTGAAAAAAGTGATTTATGACTGTTTTCACATTTATGACGGTTGCAACATCTCCATGGTAACAAGATCAAAATTCAGTTTCTTGGCAACTGACTCGTTTATGATGGTTGCAGTGTCCCCGGGTCACGTGATCCCCTTTTGTGACCTTGCAACAAGCAATGTCAGTGGGAAAGCCAGATTCACTTAACAACCATGTGACTAACTTAACAACTTCAGTGATTCACTTAATAATTGTAGCAAGCAATGTCGTCAAATGGGGCAAAACCACTGAAGTTTTGGCCTCAATTGTGATTGTACATCAAGGATTACTTGTACTAGAAGGAGAAATTACATTAGCATTCCAGTCCTTGCCAAGATGAAAGGCTACAGGAACTGATGGAATACTTACAGAAATATGGCAAGCAACAGAAGAAGGATCAGTAAAAATTCTAACCAAGCTCTGTTAGAAAAGTCTAGAGAATTACGCAGTGGCCAACAGATTGGAGAACATCAATCTGCATATCCCAAAGGTGCTTCTTCAGGAGACAACTGGACTTACCTATTTTTTCTTTGGAAGATGAAAAAGCACCTTTGAGACAACCATGACCTGGTTGACTGAGAATCTCTACAGATTTCCATCAATCTGCATACTGAAATAAGGAGATTTATTATGCAAACTATTGTACAATATCCTTAATTTCACAAGCTACCAAAATAAAGCACATAATCATCCAATGCAGATTAGAGCCCTATATAGGAAAAGAGTACCAGATATTCATGCTGGCTTTAGAAAAGGAATAAGGAATAAGACATTATTGCCTAAGCAATGAGAAAGCCCCCCAAAATATCCCAAGGAATTCACTATATGCTTAATTCATTATATAAACACTTAAAATTGTTGATCATGTAAATGTGTAATTTGTGCTTAGAAAAATGGGAATCCTAAAAAAAAAACTAATTGTCCTAATGAGAAAACTATATATAGCCAGGAAGCCACAATATGGACAACACACGATAAAACAGACTAGCTTCAGGTTAGCAAAGGAATGAGGCAACACTATATACTCACCCCTTTTTATTCAATCCATATACCGTATATGCATGTATATATTTTAAGGGAAACTGGATTGAAAGATGAACATTATTTTAAAATTCGAGGAAGAAACATAAATAACCTGTGCTGTGCTGATAACACAACATCTAGTCCTTAACTTACAATGGTAAGGGAGCCCAGAATTTCAATTATAAGTCATGATGGTCATGAGTTGAGACACCCATGTGGCTGTGCCCAATTTTATGACTTTTTGCAGTGGTTGTTAAATGAATGCCACAGTCATCAAATGATCCACATCGTTCTAAGGGTGTTTTTTTGCTAGGAAAAATACTGGCTGGAAACTGGTAAAAACATAAATCATGGCCACATGACTGGAACACTGCAACAAGCCATAAATGTTTTGATGCTTTGTAAACTTTTGCTGTAAGAGGAAACTGAGTAAATGTCAGAAAAATCCTTCAAGAACAGCTGAACTTTATATAGCTTATCCGAATCACTTTAATTGATGGCAGGTGTTTACTGACTATTATTTAACATCACTTTGAAAGTGATTGGTTAATTCTGAGCATAATCACATCCCTATTTATAAGAGGGTGTGCACATTTATGCAGTCATATCATGTAAGATTTTTTATTTCTTCCCCCTTAAAAGATTTCAGTTGATTTTTCAATTGAATTGTATGCCTTATATGTTATATTAAACGTGGGAAAAATTCTGAAGTGATTAATTTGATCTGATTTTTTATCTCAAAAATCTGGCATTTTAACGGGGGTGTGAGGGCTTTTTACATCCATTGTTATATAGCTTTTAATGTACAATTTTAGCCAATTTATATTTCAAGGCAAATGCAATAGATTCAGTAAGCTGCTTATTCTGCAATCATAAATCAAGCAATTTGATTTGAAAAGAAATCCATGGTACATTTCAGAGAATTGAAATATTTAATGCCAGTTGTGGTCTTTCCTACTTATGAATATAGTCAGCCATGGATATACAGTATCTGCTACATTAATATACTTTCAATTAATGCATTGTTTGGGATTTTGTTTTTAAAAAAGATCCAGAGAATGTATATCTTAAATTCTCATTCAGAATTTTAATAGGTTTTTCATATATATTTGTATGGTAGTTAGTAAAGTTTGAGATGCTCGTGCTTATTTTATAAAGCCCTATGATGCTTTCAAATGAATTGAGTCATTTCCTACAGTGTGTGGAGTGTAAGACATAAAACAGATGGCTCTTCCTTCTTCTCCAAAATCCAGTCTGATGTCTGTCTTTTTGATGTCAAGCAGATTTTCCCAGGCTTTTTTAGACAACTTTACTTTTGTTTCGCTGCCCCACCCCCACCCCCCACCCGTGTGTGTGTGTGTGTGTGTGTGTGTGTGTGTGTGTAGATGGAAATGGTCTCTGAGGATAAAATAATTTATTGTAGGTCTCCTCACATTGGTGGATCCAACAGGTTTTTTTAATGACTTATTTTCTTATAATAGAAACAGACTGGAGCATTTTCACTTACTATCATTCTTGATTTCTTTTTCCTCACTGGGTCCACTGACTATTTCTGCCATTCCTTTCTGTTACCTGAAAAGAACTTAGTAATACTTTGAAGTCATATTTTCTCTTCCTCTCCATCTTTTCGCCTTCTGCATTATTTTCTCTACTACCTCAAGAGGAGTAATGAGAAGTTACAGCTGGTTCAAAAGGCCCACATTATAGTAGGTCAAGCATGCTTATACAAATGTAGATAGTTCTTGATTTAGGACCAAAATTGAGCCAGAATTTCTGTTGTAAGTCGTTGTGGTCATTAAGCAGGTCACCATGTGACCTGACTAAATTTTACAACCATTTTTACAATGGTCATTAAGAAAGTCACCATGGATGTTGAGCAAATCTGATAAATCCAATGGGTGTTCCTTTGCCATTTTCTACACCAGAACTATCAATTAATTCAAAGTCTGTGAATTCTACATCTCTAGCATTCATATTTCTTTCCAATGCACCTACTGCTTTCAGATCACATTCACTTTGTGAGTTTAATTTATCTATGTCTAGATGTAGTTGAATATTTTCCATAACCATTATCATTTCATCAAACTTTTGAAAAATATTTCAAATAAGTTGCATTTTGCCAAAGTCTTTTTTCAAATGTCAGCCACATTTGCTTGTCTGTATCCTGATAAATTGCTGTTGTGTGTAACTTGGCAATGATAGATAAAAGAACACAGGAATCCTCAGAATGAAAAAAAAATATAAAAAGGCATCTTCAGAATAAAAAAAAAACCTAAAAACCCCAGGGAAGATATTTTCTATATATTTCAATCCAAAATTTTAAAAAGAATTAAAAAAATAAGCTTCAAACATTTTACAAATTAGTAAAATACAAAAATCCTATAGTGAGAGTCCAAAATAGATGTAAATCAGATGAAAATTCTTTCATTATCCCAGAACATGCCATGTTTTCCTTATGAAAAAGCAAAAGTTATTCAGAACAATAGTATAAATCAAAGAGAAGAAAAAGAACAGATAGGGTCCAGCAGGGGGGTAAAATAAATCAGCATTCAACCAGCCTGTCAACTTTTAAAGATAAAAAGTAAAATAAAACAAAAGGTACAAAAAGTGAAGTTTAAACTCAGGCATGTTTAAGAAAACGAGCTACCAAGAGGAAGGATGGATATCCATGTGTTTCTGACCACTCCCAGAGGGAACTGAAATCTTTGCTCCAGATTCCCCAAATGGGTCCACGATCTCCAAAAGCCGTCTTGGGTCATTCCTAAATGCTGCCATTCAAGTCCATGAAGCAGCACTACCAAAGAATCGGCATTGGCAGCAAAACTGGAATATCATTGGCAGGAAAAAGAAATGTTCCTATTATTCAGCAGTCATCTTGGGGAGGGGTCTCTTCTATTTAATATAGACTATTTTCAGTATTCCAAGCTAAGTAAATAGCAATAGCAGTAGCATTTATATACCACTTCATAGTGCTTTATAGCACTCTCCATGTGGTTTACATAGTCAGCACATTGCCCCCTAACAATCTGGCTTCTCATTTTACTGACCTCAAAAAGATGAAAAGGCTGAGTCAGCCTTGAACCCAGTCAGGATACTGGCAGCGGGCAGAGTCAGCCTGCAATACTGCATTCTAACGATTGTGCCACCATGACATTAGAATGTCAACAATCTTTAATTATATAAATATTACTGTATTGAAATTGAAATGATGCAGTATATCAATATTTATAATAATTCAAATAAAAGGAAAGAAAAAAAGCAAAAAATCTTTAATATTTTAATACTTAACTATCACACGTGTGTGTGTGTGTGTGTACTCATGAGAAATAACAGTGCTTCTAATGTCAGTGTAATATATCATGTTTTTCATGCAGCTAAGGTTATTATTATCATACTGAATAGAAGATAATAACAGAGATAAAGGGACTTTGGAGGTCTTTTAGTCCAACACCCTGCTCAAGCAGGAAACCGTATGCCATTTGAGACAAATGATTGTCCAATCTCTTCTTAAAAACTTCCAATATTGGAGCATTCACAACTTCTGGAAGCAATTTGTTCCTCTGATTAATTGTTCTGTCAGGAAATTTCTCCTTAATTCTAGGTTTCTTTTCTCCTTGATTAGCGATCAGTCACCTTGATTAATGATTGATATGATGAAGAAACTTCCATTGATGATTTAGCAAGGGGATCAATTGCTAAAATATGAGTTATAGCATCTTGATTCAAATTCCATGATTTATGTAATTGTATCAGAAATCACTGTATAAATTCATAATTATATAATGGTGTTTGCATCATGATGTACCACATATGTGATAGAACTTTTCAGTTTTCATGATTTGTTGCAAACACCTTTAGTTTCTATATAATTACAGAATAATGAACTTCTGCCACAATATATGAATACTGAGTTCTCTTTGCTGGCAGCTTTAGAATTCCAACAGAATTTGGTTCATTAAAACAAGAAATCAATTAGATTGTCATTTCACTTTTTCTGTACAATGTATGAAGTGTTTTACATAATTCTGGTTATCGCTCTTTCATGTTTAAGAAGATAAAATACCACTACATAGAGTAGTTTCTTCTCCTCCATTTATGCTTTTTCCTGCAAGTGTGTGCTGCTGTTCTCTCTTAAGGTTAAATGGCTGTGGTTACCAGTGAAACAAGGTGTGTACATATGCCTATCGAGATACCATGAGCCACTTTTTAATTAATTATGTGTGTACTTTCATATTTAGCAGTACATCTTGTGTAAGATTTGCCTAGCCCTAAAAATTATTATATAAAAATATAAATAGCAATTATATAAATGAAGTAAGTAAATATCGAACTAGATACAAATAAATGTAATTAACAGATATGCTGGTATTTTGTTTTTCTTAGAATAATATTATTTTAAAAGCCATTATTGGTTCTTCAGAAAGAGTAAATGAGGGAATATATTAAAATGGAAACATATACACTGGGTTAAAGGAGTAAAGATACGTAAATAAATATGTTACTTCAATCAGTTGAAGTAACATTTAAATTGGTTTTAAAGGGGAAAAATTTAAAATATCAGATTTGTCCTTATCTATTTTTATTTATAGCAAAATTGTAATCAAATTATTACATGGCAAGGTTTTTGACTGGTTTTTTTATGTGTCTTTGTAAAATACAGTTAGAAAATCTAATGCTGGATAAAGATGGACACATAAAAATTACAGATTTTGGACTTTGCAAAGAAGGAATCACAGATGCAGCTACTATGAAAACATTCTGTGGTACTCCAGAATATTTGGCTCCAGAGGTATGTCAGTCCTGTCTTACATTTTCTTTAATCATAAATGCTTTGGAATGATAATCTTTATATTTTAATACTTGCAGATACTATTACAAAGGATACTGTATTTATTACAGGTTTTGTTTTGGGAATTTTTAAAATTGTAGTTTAAACTTAATTAAAAGTGTAGTTAAACACTAGCATATGCATTACAATTTACAATTAATTTACAATTTCTGTAGCAGAATCTGTCTTGCTGTATAAATTGTAAACTCTCCCTCCCTCCCTCCCTCCCTCCCCCTCCCCCTTCTTCTCCCCCCTTTCTCTCAAAGGAATCTTTTTTCTTTCTCTTTTAAAGCATTTATCTTTTCACACATAGAAAAGTAAAGCTAATTCACAAAAGTTCACAAATTAGATGAAATAAAATAAGGAGATGAGAATTTTATTTCCAAATGAAGTTTAGAGAAAATTAAATGAATATTGCTGATATAACTGTATGAAAAGAGTTGTAGCTTAATCTAAATAATGTGTCACCTTAAGATAACAGCAAGTTAACAAGTTTTCATTAATGTGTATTTAAAGGTCATCATTAGAGTATATTTGTCTCTTAAAATCAAAAAGGGTTTGAAAGCAAGATTTTCATTATGATCTTTTTCTGCATCTTGTGATCAAACCTGGAAACCTGTGACCAGCTCTGGATGGGTACATGCATACTCATTATTCTTTATGAATTCTATGCATCTTATGTATGAATTATATGATGTTTAGAAGGTTGAAGAATCTTCTACAAATGAGGATTTTTATGAGAACCACTCAGTAAGACAGATGGACAATAAGGTTCCTGTTGGCAGAACTTCATTGAGAGTTTGGCAATAAATCTCAGTCTAGAAAATAAAACCTGCTCTTAAGAGCTACGGAAGGGAGTCAAGCTCAAAGTTCTCTTAGATATGTTGTTTTTAGAAGCTTTTTTATAGAAGTTCAGCTGCTTTATTATAATTAAGCCTTTTTCTATGTAATAGTTCCAGGATTTACATTTTATGTGTCTTTCTCCTTTCCTTATGTGATAATGCATTTTTTCCTTGACTTTTTAAAAAAAGAATTTAGAATAACTTGATTGTCCCTTTGAATATACATTAATCAGTATACATTAAAATGAAATTTTGTTGCATGCAGCTCTCAAAGGGTCTCCACCTCTAATATACACTACATAAACATGACAAAATAAATAAACAAACAAATAAATAAATAAATATGCATATACATATATGACATATACATGTATGACATGGAGAAACAACACAGTCTAGTTTGGATGTACACATGTACATGGTGATAGAAAAAGAATCTTAACGAGTTTACCAGATGGATGGCATAGGGAATAAAACTGTTACAATTTCTGGTAGTCCTGCTAGAAATACTTCTAAACCTCCTCCCGGAGGGAAGCAACAGAAACAGACCGTGAAGTGGGTGTGTGGGGTCTCTAACAATGCTTTGAGCTCTAAGCACATAGTGCTTATAAGCGGTATCCTGAATAACAGAAAGCAAGCTTCCTTTCATCTTCTCGGCTGCCTTTACCACTCTCTTTATGGATTTCCTATCTGAGGCATTGCAGCCACGAAACCAAACAGTGATGCAGTTTGTTAAAACATCTCAATCGTGCCTCTGTAAAAAGTGGCCAGGACAGAAGGAGAAAGATGTGCTCCTCTCATCTGACGCAGGAAATGCAGATGCTGATTTTCACATTTACTAAGAATGATGTGTGGAGAGACCAATTCAGATCGTTCATTATCTGCACCCCCCCAGATACTTAATACTATTGACCACGTCTACAGCCGCATCCTTGATACTGTATGACTATGCCAGCTCTTTCTAAAATCTATGATAATCTCCTTTGTTTTATTAACATTTAGAATCAGGTTACTTTTATTGCATCAGTCCACCAGAGCCTTCACCTCTTCCTTATATGCATTTCCATTGCCGTCCTGGATAAGATCCACCTCTGCCTTGTTATCTTAATAATATGATTTGTAGCAGATTTGGCACAGCAGTCATGAGTCATCAAGATGAACAGTAGCGGACTCAAGACAGAGCCCTATGGGGAACCTGTACTCAAGGAGATGGAGTTGGAAACTTTTCTTCCAACTCCCACAAACTGGGCCCTATCAATAAGGAAATCCAGTATCCAATTACATAAAGGAGTATCAAAACCTAATAGGCCCAGTTTGTTCACCAAATGCTGAGGAATGATTGTGTTTTAACGCCAAAGTAAAATCAATAAACACTATTTGCACATGAGTATTCTTGTCCAGGTGTACCAAGCTATAGAGCAGTTCTTCCGATAGGCAAACTATAATGAGTCAAATATAGGGCAAAGGCATGAAACCATATAGTCCTTTATCAATCTCTCAAAACAAATCTAAGATGTGGAAGAGACCTCTGTTGGGTTTCAATAACACTTTTGTCTGTTTTCAAGCTCTTTCTAGCTTAGCAGATTCTTTCCTTATATCTATATTCCTTTTTAGTTTTCTTTTACCTGCAGAATTACAGCAGCATTGGAAACATTATCCATCTTTTTGAAACACTTGTTCTGTTCTTAGCTTTCCATAGGTTTAAAATGCACAAAATTACTTCATGCGATTCTCCATGACATTTTGAATGATTAGTCCACATCTTTAACAGTGATACAAATGATATCCATTCTTCTTGACTTTTGGACCTGTGACTCTAGAGTTCCATTTTGTAAATATGTCAAGTTGTGATAGTAATGTTCCACCTACTCCTTGTATGTGAGAAAAAGACACTTCAACATTTATGAAGCAGGTAGTTTGATAGAACAGATCATCTTCTCTTAGGGGCTTGTGAGAGGACAAGGCATTCCAGGTCTGCCACTATCTTGAGGTTGCATTCTAACTTCAGAATCATTTGTTATAGGCTTACTCTTTCTGTAGCCCAGCTCTTGATCTTGTTTCAGTACCAGCTTCTTAATGATACCTGCTAATAATTTTGTCTAAGATCCATATCTACTTCTGGACACTCTGGGGAATATAGATCTCTCCCCAGAATTCTAAAGTGGCCAAGATTATGAGATAGTTAAATAAGCAGCGTGTTCTGAAACAAGGTGGAAAAAATGGAAGGAACAAAATAAGCTTTCTGATAGGCCATATCCAGGTCTAATAGTGTTTGTTAGAATTTTGGGGGCTATATTTCTGCTTTCTTCATTTTGAAACTGTTCTCTTCTTCTGGAAGTGGTATCCATAGTGGAAATTAGGGAGGCACCCACTCTAATCCATAGAACTATAAATACTTAAATCTCATCCCTTCTATAAATGATGGGATTGCCATTGCAAAATTCTTTTGGACTGATGCATAGCACATTCCTCTCCTCTTCCTAGTAGAAGTTTAAGAGATACACTGGATTCCAGATTTGAGTGATAGCCATCCTTATCTTGGGACTACCACTCCCATAATGTAGACTACTGTCTCTTCCCATCCTGGGGCTGGAATATATCCTTTGGTTCATGAACATTCATGGTCACTGCCTATCTTGCAGTTATAAGCTGGAACTGTTTAATATAACAGGAAAGGTGGGAGATTGCATCAGCCATAGTATAATTAAAAGATATGTTAATTGACTAATAGATTCTGTTTTGTCCATTAGTCACTTTGTCTTGATATCAAAGTCTGTAGTTTTGCCAATAGAGCCTTTCTTAGTAACAATCCTCTGTAGTTACCATCTGCTATCCTCCTTCAGCTATATAACTTACCAAAACACTTAGTAACTAAGGTGCTTTAAGGTCTGATGCTGGCAAGATAGGTATAAGCAATGGGCATTAAATAAAGTTATCACAATTGTCAAAGTTCCAAAATGACTTACTAAGTTCTATTAATTAAGGAGGATTGAAGGAAGATGCCTAAAATGTAAACCTTTGAGAATATATATAAATAGCTGATATCTTTGTATAGCAGTGGGCAGTCAACCATATGTGTGAAGTTTCATTCTTATCTGCAGCAAAGATTCTGCTCTAGTCAAGTCATATTTGTGAATCTTTTGTCAAATCAAGCCAAGCTATGATCTCAGGGTTTGTAAATTAGTGATTTGTTTTTGTGCTTTGATGTGAAGCCTGATTTAAAAAAAGACAAATTTAGTGGCTCATAGTACGAAGACTTTTACCCTACAAGAGCTGCCTGCTGATCCATTCAGTGCTTGAGGCTATGAGTCCAGAACTACATCTTGGAACATATTTTCCTTTCTTTCTCAATCTCTAATCAATTATATATTCCATCTATGGAGAACAGCCCATATATGGAAAAGTTATTCCAGATGGTAGCTGTGCTTGGCCTTGAAGTATATTAATATCAGCAACCAAATCAATAGATGACTCATATTGTTCACCTCAACAACAATAATTCTTCAACCTTTGTTACAGCCTTTGCTACTACTGCTTAAGATAACCATGGATGCATGATAAAAGTCAGATTAAGTACCCCTCCCCCAAAATTAAAAACCCGTATAAAAGAAAGAATGTCATTGTATTTTAAATTCATCATCTATCGGTATCTCTTAGAGCAGTTCATGGAATATCTTGTACTCAAGGTCATTTGATGCCAGTAAACAAAGACAGAAAACTAGGTGTCTTCAGGATGGAGTCTCTCCATAGCCTTGCCTATTTCAATAGAATAGAATAGAATAGAATAGAATAGAATAGAATAGAATAGAATAGAATAGAA